AAGCATTAATCCCAAGCTAAATCAGATGAGTGGAAATCAACGACAACAACCCAAAGCTTAAACAAGGATAAAAAGTTGCATGTCACCGGTTTATATCCCCTAGCATTATTTGCATTTTCAGTGATTGGACCAGGTTTTTTTTTTCTGGGTCAAAAGGGAGGATTTCATTAACAGGCCAAAACGCAGCCACCAAAACGAAACCAAACAAGGAAAAAAGTCCCAGACACACAGGACGAGCAAAAACAAACTAAATGCAAGCTGCAAGTAGCCATAACACCGACGTGGCAGAGCTGCTCTAAACGTCGCCACCTGCAAAATGCCTCTATGCAAACTAGGGGTGAGGGCTGGGTAAACCATCCTTATTCAGAATGTGCACCAGTGAAGCTTTTAAGTCTGGGTTACCTTGGGCTAAAACAAATTTGTCCTCGTGGGCTGGAGTGGGCTAGGCTAGAAAGCTAGAAAGCTCGAAAAGAACGGCTGATGCATGAAGAAAATATTGGGATTTTCGGCCAGCTAAGCCTGGCAGCCTTCTACATTGTTCTGCCCCTCTCTCTCTCTCTCTCTCTCTCTCTTCACGTGTAACATGCGGAGACAAATAAGATAAGGAGGGGGTATATGAAGAAGACCACAACATATACAAACAAAGAGTCTACGAGCAAATGATTAAAAGCGTCTTTAAACCAATTTTTGACTTGCAGACATGAGGTCTCGAGTCTGAACCTCTATGACATCTTGGTTGTGTGTGAGAGAAAATCCCTTCCTTTTAGTTTAGAATATCAGTTTTTGATCCAGAAAAAGTAAAAAAGAAAAAATGAAAAACAAGCATCTCAAGTCAGATTGAATTCTTACGTACTTTGAGATTCATTGGTGGTTCAAGCCCAACCTCATTTCCTACAACAGTTTAGATATAAGAAGACTTGTTCATAATAAATAAATAAAAAGGTAGTAACATTATGTGAAAACGTCCTCATCCACAACAAAAGTTTACCGTTGGATATTTCTTGAGTAATGATGGGAACGGTCTTGCCTGAATATGAATCACCACCAATGTATAGTGGATTTTTCAGAAATTGAGGGTGACCTGTAATCCACTGTATATATATGGTAAATTAAATAGTAAATTAATTAATGAGATTTATACATAATTTTGAATCCATTAGTGTAACTTAATTAATCCATTATTATTTCACCTTCCTTAGAAATTCATCAGTTTGCGCTGCTGATAATGCATCACCTGTCATGTATCCTTGAGAACTTTTTGCATATGAGAATCCAGTACCCAACAGGTTGATCCAAAAATATTATATTCGCAAGCTGAAAAAGTTTCAGTGCCTTAGGGTGGGTAAAATAATTATTAGCAAATCACAAAGTTTTGGCACTAACTATACGCATACATACCTTTGTCCATGAGTATGGATTTAACACAAATGTTGGTTGGTTCCCACTAGAATTTGCGTAGTTAAATACCAATGGACCTGCCAAAAAAGAAAGAACTCAATCCATCAGCAAAAGTAGAGGACAAGGTTAAGAAGTGAGCTTATGATCATGTACCAATTTGATATACAAGCCCAGAAAAAGAAGAGCAGCCAGGACCTCCGGTGAGCCAAAGCACTAGAGGATCTTCCTTGGGATTTCTCTCCGACTCCACGAAGTAATAAAAGAGCTGCACACCATCTGAATCGCCCACCCCTAGGTACCTTCATATCATTAAACCCCATAGCTTTTATTCTCATCGATGTGTTGTACGTATGAACTGATATAATAATATTCATGCTGGAACCAACATGATAATGTATAAAATTGTGTATACGAGATTGTATATACAACTGACTAAGCCTATAATTTTATCTTTCAGTTTAAAAAGTACGAACCCGGTTTCAAGTTCGAACGGGAGTTCGCCGGAAAAGCCCGGCAGGGTCTTGATGATGGATGCTGAAGAGACAATGTGACAGATGAGGAGGAACAGAACAAGTGCTAGCGGCAACATGGTGATCCCAGGGGCGGAGGTATGCTCTCCCAAAATTTTGAAAAGCAATATATATTGGGCTTTGCAATCGACAACCAAGGATAATATATATATATTAAAATAATACTTGCATTCCCCTCACAATAAAGAGAATGAAGGATTTACGATTCCCCACTCCAACTAAAAGGCTAATTCCTTTTAGCAAAATGGCTAAGGAATGGGAGATAGACACATTGTCACACTTCAGCTGCACATCATCATCAAACTTGGTGGCAAATAGTTGCTTTTGCTAGTATAGCTTATCGTACATAATTATTGGTCGTCCACTGTGAACTTATGGGGCCGGCATGTATGAAGTGACTCTTTCATCCTTGGGTTTCAAGCCTAGACTATATACAATTACTAATTTCATGTTGAACTAAATATAATTTAATGACCAAATAGACATAGAATGGTTATTCCATAAAGAATAACAACATCCAAGTACTATATTATAATAGTTTTTCATTCAAATGGATGGGCATGTTTAAAACTTTTGTACTATGTTCCGAAATTTTCCAAAAACAACTTGAAATTTTCAGAAAATTCTGAATGTTCCGAGTTTTTTGAATCATAATGGATATTGAAATTTCAAAAAAATTTGGAAAGGAAATGGAATAGAATTTTTATGTAGGGAAAAATATGGGTAAATTCTTACGAAGGAAAATAAAGAAAATAAGTTGGTTTGAAATTGGCAAGAGAGCCCACAAGAAGAAAGAACCGCAGCCAAATATCAATTATGAGGTTAAAAGAAGGAAGGCGTATTGTTGGGATTTTCGGGTTGCTTGATTAAAGTTTGAAGCGTAGATGATCTTTGGAAAAATTTATTTTACTTTTATAATAAGTAGGATCCTCAATATAAGCTTATATATATAATTTGATAAATGAACAAGATAAAAGAAAGGCAGAGGGCTTATCCCTTGCAACCATGGTGGTGATATCAGAACAAGAAATACACTCAAGCGCACTTGGTTGGCTAGCTGATTCATCCAGCAACACTGACTCAATCACATCTCTGAACGAGACAGCAAAACAAGCCAACAGCTTGGCCAAAATCCTCCTCGAAGACTTCGAGTTATTTCAGAGAGGTAAATGATGACTATATTTATGTGGGTTTTGGTCGGTGATCTCAGTTGGTATTTGTAGAGAGTATTTGTGATGATAACGTGTTATAAAATAAATAAATAAAATATTTATAGGCATAAAAGGTAAATAAATATTTCTCAATAACTCAAGGCTAAAGTATATCTTATTTATTTTTTGTGCCTACTATTTATAGGCATAGGAAATACATCGTTATTTACCACTCTTAAATAGTACGTTACAAATAATAAATATAGTATTTAGTGCATAGATTACAACCTTTTATAGGTATAATAATAAGAATTACAATATCCTTATAGTGAAGATCCATAACCTTTGAGTTTACAACAAAAATATAAAATAATATAAGATAAATAACCCATCACCCCATCTTCCCTGCAAACCCTCCCCATCAAGTAAAATCTCATTTTGTATGTGAGGTCCAACTTTACCTTTGGCAACTCAACTCTTCTATTAAAGCATTCAAATCAAAATGGGATGATCCTCCTTTCTCAATAGCCCCTCTTGCCTGCTCTGCTAGTCCCTTGGATCTGCTTCTCATTTCCTCTGCTTCCTCACCCACCATAATCTGAGTCACTGCTTTTTCAATAGCTTCCCTCTTGACGCTATCACCCTCAACACTCACCCACATCTGATCACCAACACCAACCCCAATTTTCAGCACTTGGGTCACCAACTTCTCATTGTAAAATTGCTCTGCAGAAACTGGCCATGTCACCATAGGCAACCCAGCAGCAATTCCTTCCAATGTGGAATTCCACCCACAATGAGTCACAAATCCCCCAACAGCCCCATGATCAAGAATCGGGACTTGTGGAGCCCACCCTCTTATGATTAGCCCTTTTCCTTCCATCCTCTCCTCAAACCCTTCAGGCAACCAATCCTCTTTGCCCACATCATCATCATTTTTGCCTCTCCTCACAACCCAAATGAACTCCAGCCTAGTAGCCTCAAGCCCAGCTGCAATCTCCTTCAGCTGAGAATTACTGAATCTAGCCATACTCCCAAAGCACACATAAACAACTGAATTGGGTTTCTTTGAATTAAGCCACTTCAAACATTCGTGCTCATCAATAGAAACTTCCTTTCCTCTATATGATTTTTCCTCATTGTCCCTGTTGCACAGAGAAAGAGGACCAATATGCCATGCCTTCCTCCCTAAGAGCTTTCTGTAATAATCTGCATAAACTGGTTCAAGTTCATAGAAACTATTGACAACAATACCATAGCTCCCCACCTCAGAGTCATGAGCTTGTTTCATTAACTGGGTCAAGTCATTTTCAATATTCTCCTTCAAAAAATAAGGCACTTGGGCTCTTGTCATCTTGATCTCCCCTGGAAGATTGGGAATCACAAAGGGTTCTGAATCAGATGACATGTTCTTGAAAGGTTGATATCGCCTCACACAATCTGATGCAGCCAAAGCGAAGAAACTAATCCCATGAAAAACGAGCCTTGGAATGCCAAATTTTGCAGCAGCATCAGTTGCCCAAGGAAAAAACATGTCAGCTACAAGGCAAGACGGTTGGTCTTCAAATAGCAGCCGTTCGAGTGGTTCTTGGAGCAAGCCCAATGCTTTAGAGAAATTATTGGCGAATTCTGGTGTGGGGAGTGAGTCTAGATTCTCACACCCTTCTGGCAGCCCAGCCTCTTGAGAAGGGAACTTGATGGTTTTGATTTCGATTTCGATGCGGCCGGAGTTGGTTTTTCTTGATCGGGTGGATTTAGAGAATGTTGGGGCGTTGAGAGGGGTTGTGATTATGGTTGTCTTCACTCCTTGTGCTGCAAATAGCTTTGCCATGTCTGAGACTGGTATCATGTGCCCATAAGCCATGAAAGGGAACAAGAATATGTGCAACTCTCGGTTTTCACTACTCATGCTTGGGACTAGAAATGAAGATGAAGAGGTGTAGGGTTTTAGAAAAATTCGGGTGGTGGTGCTTTTTATGTTTATGTTTGTGTTTGTGATACTGGTATGGACATGAAGGTCACATATAGAGGATGTAAATCACTTACATACTGTTCTGGCTACCTATCCTAACTCAAGCCAGTCCACCCGTCCGCTGATATAAAGTGCATTATTGCTACAACGTTTCTACAAATGGGACATGTGATTATACAGCATGTTGGCCCCATTTATGGAAAATCATTAACTTTGCTGACTAATTCTTTCTCAATGATTTGAGCTCTGAAATCAAAGCATCCACCCCTTCATACGAGGAACCACCTTCTTCGACGGCTCTCCTAGCCTTCTCCGCAAGCGCTCTCGCTTGCTTCCTCATCTCCTCCGCCTCCTCACCGCCACCCATCACCCTCCTCACCACCGCTTCCACCTTCTCTCTCCCCACCAACTCCTCCCTCTCCGCATTCCACGACACCCACTCTTTGCTCCCAACCTGGACTCCAATCCCCAACACATCAGTTATCAGCTTCTCATTGTAGAATTGCTCCGCCGACAGCGGCCACGTCATCATGGGGACCCCAGCAGTCACACTCTCCAACGTCGAGTTCCAGCCACAGTGGCTCATAAACCCCCCAACAGCGCCATGCTCCAGCATCAATATCTGCGGGGCCCATCCCCTTATCAAAATCCCTCTCTTCATCTCCATCATTCTCTCTTCAAATCCCAGAGGAACCCAATTCTCGTCGTCCCCAACATGACCTTCGTTCTCTGCGCATCTAAAAATCTTCCCAACAACCCAAATGAAATTGTGGGTCGAGGCCTCGAGCCCATGTGCGATCTCGAGGAGCTGGGCGGGCGGCAACCGAGCCAAGCTGCCGAAACTGATGTAAACGACCGAGTTGGGTTCTTTAGAATCCAACCAGCTCAAACAATTTCGGAGGCTCTGTTCATCAACTGAGGCTGCTTGGCCTCTCTCAGTCTTATCGGCATTGTTTCTGTTGCACAGAGAAACTGGGCCAACAAGCCATGCCTTTTTCCCCAACACAGTCTTAAAATACTCCACATATTTTGGCTCCAATTCATAGAAACTATTCACCACAACCCCAAAAGCCTTCTCCTCTGCTTTTCCAATTTTATCAGGAAGCCCTGGTTTGTTTCTTGCAAATGGGGGCAGCTGAGACCTCGTCAATTCGATCCTATCAGGAATTTGAGGCACCAGAAATGGCTCAGAATCAGAACCCAGTTGCTCATGCGGCGCGTATCGGCCGATACACTCGCTGACGCAGCGAGAGAAGAAGCCATTTCCATTGAACACCACTCGTTTGATGTTAAGCCCGTCGATGACATCAGCCGCCCAGCGGTGGAAGACGTCGATGACGATGCAGTCGGGTAGGTTTTGGGTGAGGAAAAGCTTGAAGGGTTCTCGGAGGACGGAGGTGTCTGTGAAGGGGGCTGCGGACATGGAGGAGTCGGGCGAGACGGCGTCGTTTGGGAGGTCGAGGACGCGGATGGTGATCGGGAGGTTGAGGCTTTGGTCGCGGCGGATGGAGCTTCGGAAACGCAGGCCGTTGGCGGGTGTGGTGGTTAGGATTGTGGCTTTGGCTCCGTGGGAGGAGAAGACTCTTGCTATGTCCTCCTACAAATGGGAAGAAGTACATGACAACTGGAGTTTCTGATGAATCCATGGATGCAGAGAGAAAGAGAGAGATTGAGAAATGGTTTTGGAGGTTAGGATTTTAGGATGGAGACAAAATAGGAGGAAGAGATTGACTGTTTGATGGGTTCCTGGCCCGGGGATGCCCCGTCAGTTTTTCACCTCATTATATCAAGCCAATAGGATACTGCCACTTGCCAATTTTCTTTAAAAACTTTTAATAATATATTTTAATTAAAACAATCAACTAAAAGTAAAGGTTTTCTCAAATCCCATCTCTACATCCGTACCAGCTCTTTTACTCCCCAATTAATTTTTTTTTCCCAAACTAAATTAATGTTTTACATTCTTTTCTTTTTCTGCCAACCCTCTTGCGTCTCCTATGCAAAAACATTCCATCTGTAAAATAATTGTTCTTGTCTCTGTTCAATCCCTCTCCTTCCTCTCTTCTATCCATACAATTTTTTTATATTATATTTTTTTTAATGACGTGATGTATTTTATTGTTACAACTAATGACATTTTTTTTTAAATAATGAAGTAATGCTAATAAAATTTAGTTTGCTGTACAATTTTGTTTCTAATATTAATAACTCAAAGAAGAAGTATGTTCTTTTTTCCTTTTCGCATGATATCAATAACTCAAAGAAGAAATATGTTTTTTTTTTCTGTGATCAAGTGTAACGTGGGTAATTTGCATGAATGGATTTATAATTGACTAATCCTTCTTCAAATAACATATTAAGGAAGAGCATAAACTTAATCTCATGTACAAAAGTAGTCTTTTGGCCAAATAGTACAACAAAAAGGAAAAGGAGTGTGGAATTATTCTCTTGTACAAAAGTGTAACCTCGGCCAAATAACATAACAAAAAGAAAAGGAGAACACTACGTCACATCTACAAAAACGTAATTTTGCCAAACTAAAGATTATATTGTTCTCCTTTGCAAAATATGTTGGCCTTAATACATCAAAATGAGCACATTACACTTGTTCAAATAAGATGTCCAAACAAAAATTACAAAATTAATACAAAGCATAGCATATCCTTCAAACGTTCATATTATGAATAAAAGTACAATCTCTACGTACCTATGTTGACCTTATACTTGCTTCAACCATAGAAGGCACAACATTTGCGTGAGCCTTTCGTATCTCTGGATGTGTAACGATTCAAGCTTCCGACTTTATCCATGGAGGGATACCTCCAAAGGCATAGTTGATTCTTGATGAGCTCGCTTGCACTATAGCCATGGCCACTCATTATCTCCCCTCTGATTCATTTGAGTAAACCTGGTTTTCGATTTTGTTGTTGAGGTCGTGGTGGGGTTGGCTGGGTGAGGAAGAGACTATGGGAGATTTTTTTGTTTTGAATTTTGAATTTTTATTTATTTAATATAATTTACCTCTTTTTAATATTTGAAAAAATAAAGATTTTTTTAATTATTTGTTTGTCTACATGGAAGTCCACCTGTAAGTCCACCTTATTAAAAAATGGGGTCTATATTTGACACATCAATATTTAACAGATTCATTAACGGTTTGGCTAATGGAGGGGGCAATTTGTAGGGTTTCTATGACGTTGAGTATGTACTAGTAAATATCCCTAAAATCGGGTATGAACTTTTAAATGACCCTATAGGTTGGGGGGTTTTATGTAGTTTTTCCAAAAAATTAATTAAGAAGTAAAAGAGCTTGCACGGATGTAGAGATTGGATGAGAGATAAACTTTACTTTTTGGTTGATTTTTTGATTAAAATATGTTTTTAAAAGTTTTTAAAAAAGATTGGCAAGTGGCAGTATTCTATTGGCTTGGGATATTGAGTTGGAAAACTGACCTGGCATCCCCGTGCCAGGAAAGTTTTTCTCCTTTGCTAGGGCCACTGTATTGAGTTGCATTGTGTATTTTCTTTTTCAAATTTACATTTTTAATCCTTGTTATTTTCATTTTCACAATTCAGTCTGTACATTTTGTTTGTTGCAATTAAGTCCAAATCTTAAACTCCTTTAAATTAATAGATGGAATTAGTTGTGGTGTTATACAACCATCCCATGTGACGATATTTTTTGTCATTTTAAAACGTTTGCAATCAGTCCAAATTGCAAGAATTTTTTTGTTTTTCTTAATAATATTTTGATACAAGCGATATTAAGGAAGGAGAAAATCAAACCTAAGACCTTGATTACATAAATAAATACTCTTAATCACTTAAATTACAAGTTACAAGTTACAAGTGACTTGTAGCAAGTCTCTTTTTTCTTAACAATATTAAATTTGTATGACATGATTGCGTACTAGATAAAATTGCTGGTCTAAAATTGTCAAAATTGAAATACATTTCTCAATAAAAGAAAACCTTAAGTATATATATGTTGTTTCTAGTATGATTACAATTTTGAACAAATGCTCAAATATTAGAAAATATAGCACCGATGTAATTCTATAAGATAAGCACCACATCAGTGTTGCAAGGAATCATTATGAGCCCACTACTAAATTTGATTAAGCTCATCAAGTCAAATACGGATTGAATCAGGTTGATTAAACTCATTTAGATATGGAGTTTTACCTCAAAAGGTATTAATTTTATTAGTAGTGAATCACCTATTTTTATATTGTACATTGTTGTGATACGTTTTCTATGTGAGGTTATGTTTGTCCACATCTATAGCTTGTAACTTGACAAGATTTAAGCCACGATAATTATCCATTACAACCCCTACACTTTCAAGCAAGTGTGACATGGTCCCTTCTACCGTGTTTTACTATATTTGTGTCCTGCATATTCATGTCATGTGAAATTATCCTAAATCAGAGATACACGCAATTTAAGTAAGAGGCACAAACCATATGATATTCTGTTCCATGCATTGGTGGATCCAGGGATTTTTTAGCGGAGGTGCAATATTGACTAAGTATGAAAAATGGTTTTTCAGAATAATCATTTTCTCAAGATAATTTTTGGCGGCTGTTATTCCTTACACATCAAATAAGAAAACTTGATTTTATGAGGTTTTAGTATGAAGTATATATTGACTTAATGAGCCATCATTTTAGCCTAAATCGTATTTTGCACTAAAACCGATTTTTCATATTTTGATTTGGTGGGAATTTGATTTTCTAGTATTTTTATTTGAATCCAAATGGGGGGTACTTCCTCATTTACATTGTAAACTTAGGTAAATTGAGTAATATAAAAATAAATGAAAGTAAAAGGACAAAGACATTTACTTAAATGTTAAAAATGGAAATAAGGTAATATGTACACCAATTGAGCAAAGAGGCCATTTGAAGCACCTACAATGGTTTTTCCGGCAAGGGGAGGTGCAGGCCTTGCGCCTTAATAGGTCCGTCACTTCCATGTTCTATTGTCCTATCTGGTTTATGGTGTTTCTTTTTTGCTAGTCTATGTCTTTGGATAGCATCCCTCTTTTGCTTTAGTTTCTCCGGTGACATTTCGGCATGTCTGTTCGGTTTCTTGGGTTTTGGCTCCCCTTTGTGAAGGAAACCTTTAGAAAATCATGAGTTTCATTTGAACATCAACATAGATAATTAAAATCATGGCAACGGAAGCTTAAGCATGCATCTATGAGTTCAAAAACAAAAACTTTTCCCATGAATCTTTTAAGCCAAGTGATAGTTGTACTACTTTCCTAGAACATACTTCTAGTAAGATTGGAAGGAGGAGTTACCCTTGGTGCGTGCTTTCAACCCTATCATCGAATTCCACCAAAGTTGTTGAAACTTGAATGGCTCCTTCAAAATCTCCACCTTGTTGTTGAAGCTTGAATGACTCCTTCAAAACTTCAACTTAGGAGGTTCTCCAAAAGTCACCAAAATAGGTAACCTCTAAGTCTCTTCACCAACTAGAGCTTGAGAAGAAGATGATGAGCTTAGTGAGAGGATGATGCTAGTGATCCCTCACTAAGATGATATGAAAGTGTAGAGAGAGTTTTTGGAAGACTAGAGCTTTCTTTCTCTCTCTTGTTTTTCACTAATGACCCTCTTAGGCTTCAAAAAGATGATAGTCATCTTTTTCTTAAGTCAACAAGTTGACTCTAGCAAACCAAAAGCCCATATGAACGTCCATCCCTTGAAATTGGGCCTCTTGGGCTCAATTTAATTTATGTTTTCATACAACCCAATCTCCATGTCCAAAAGGATAAAACCCAACGAGCCCGGAATTCAAAATTCCCGTTTGAAGCCTATTCCGACATCACGTGTCGTTTAAATTAATTCCATAATTAATTTTGCCTTAACCAATTAACAAAGCTTAATTGATCTCTTCAATTCATCATCTCCACGGTGTGCGATCCATTAGGTTCTAATTAGCAAGGTCGTGGGCAATTTGGACAAAATAGGAGGAAGAGGTTGACTGTTTGATGGGTTCCTGGCCCGGGGATGCCCCGTCAGTTTTTCACCTCATTATATCAAGCCAATAGGATACTGCCACCTGCCAATTTTCTTTAAAAACTTTTAATAATATATTTTAATTAAAAAAATCAACTAAAAGTAAAGGTTTTCTCAAATCCCATCTCTACATCCGTACCAGCTCTTTTACTCCCCCAATTAATTTTTTTTTCCCAAACTAAATTAATGTTTTACATTCTTTTCTTTTTCTGCCAACCCTCTTGCGTCTCCTATGCAAAAACATTCCATCTGTAAAATAATTGTTCTTGTCTCTGTTCAATCCCTCTCCTTCCTCTCTTCTATCCATACAATTTTTTTATATTATATTTTTTTTAATGACGTGATGTATTTTATTGTTACAACTAATGACATTTTTTTTTAAATAATGAAGTAATGCTAATAAAATTTAGTTTGCTGTACAATTTTGTTTCTAATATTAATAACTCAAAGAAGAAGTATGTTCTTTTTTCCTTTTCGCATGATATCAATAACTCAAAGAAGAAATATGTTTTTTTTTCTGTGATCAAGTGTAACGTGGGTAATTTGCATGAATGGATTTATAATTGACTAATCCTTCTTCAAATAACATATTAAGGAAGAGCATAAACTTAATCTCATGTACAAAAGTAGTCTTTTGGCCAAATAGTACAACAAAAAGGAAAAGGAGTGTGGAATTATTCTCTTGTACAAAAGTGTAACCTCGGCCAAATAACATAACAAAAAGAAAAGGAGAACACTACGTCACATCTACAAAAACGTAATTTTGCCAAACTAAAGATTATATTGTTCTCCTTTGCAAAATATGTTGGCCTTAATACATCAAAATGAGCACATTACACTTGTTCAAATAAGATGTCCAAACAAAAATTACAAAATTAATACAAAGCATAGCATATCCTTCAAACGTTCATATTATGAATAAAAGTACAATCTCTACGTACCTATGTTGACCTTATACTTGCTTCAACCATAGAAGGCACAACATTTGCGTGAGCCTTTCGTATCTCTGGATGTGTAACGATTCAAGCTTCCGACTTTATCCATGGAGGGA